AACAACCAATACTTCCACCCTGATCAATGTAGCATGTGGTTTCCGATTGAGAGCCTGTCATCATCCACTGACTCTCCAGCGGCGAAGTATCGGTCCGTTTTGCTTAGTTCCCGGTGTTTTCATGCTTAGCTTACTCAAGAGTGAACCCAAGCCGGTGTGCGGTTATTCGTTTTTTAGCAGAATCTTGCGGTTCGACAGCTGAACAGAGGCCATCAACGTTGAATGCCAATAAGACTGGTTAAGTTTGGCGAACAACCTTCAACGAGACTTTGCGAGTTGATCGATTATAATACTCGCTGGTTTATATTCAGGGGCTTGAACATAAATCAGTGTGTACGTACTTTAAATAGGTACACATGTGCATTCCTACCTTCGATTTCTATGAAATTGGGCCCTCAATCCAGCGGTGGTCACATTAGTGCGTATTTTTTGAAGAATGTGTCGCCGAAGGGAAACGGTCGGATCGTGCGTCAGCTGGACAGTGAGTCGGACGCTGTCTTCGGATTTCACATCATTAGCTCCAAATTTGATATAAGTGCTAATAAAAATCGCGCTACTGTTCCGTTTGCGCGTCTCCCCTTCCTGTCTTTCACATCTCGTAGTCGTGTTTATTCATGTTCACAAAGAAAGCGCCTTGTTCATTCATTTGGCAACCATTTGTTCTGTATTTTGGCAGATAGCCCCATCCTGCGACTAGATGGGACCAGCTAATGATGTTTCTTCGGCTTTCATCTTTTTCGTTTCGCTGTCGGTTCTAATTTGACGCTTTCCGGATTCGTCAGTGTGTTATGATTGTACGGCAGTGTTCTCTTGTGCTGTTGGTGCAAAATCTTAAGTTCTATTTGACAAAGAAGCCTGAGATCTTTTGGATGTCGATTGTGGCTTCTTTCCAACTATTTCTATAAATCTTGGTTTGAATCACCCCATTCGCCGAAATTTGATGCCAAAACCCTCTGAGTCTCCGTTTATGATCGCGGAAACGCTAGAAAAGCAATGGAATTACTTCAACTGAGTAGCGAAGTTGCTACCATTGTGTATACTTTCAGCGGCTAGTTGGGTGTCTACGGCACCACCAGGACACAGATGTTATCGCATCCGTGACCTTAGTCTTGAAATATACACGTCGCGTGGTCAGGACTGTGGTTACCAGTTTGTCGATCTTAGTCACGCACTCACCTTTTACAGCCCTGATCAAATGTCTGGTCTACACAGTAACGATAGAGTTGGCGTAATCGTTGTTAGCGGTTGTTTGTGCAAGTACAGTGCGCCACAAACACCTAGTGAAAACTACTAAGATACAAAAAGATCACAAAATACGTAAAGATATTTCAGGTCCCCCATTCACAGCATCCTATCCGCAAGTATTAACCAGATCTTTTAGCGCGCCAGCAATGAAACCAGTATCCATGGCAAATTCTTTTTGCCGATGTTTCGTGTTGTCGTCGTTCGCTTTAACAATCCTCACTTCTCCAAGCGTCACGTGACTTGAAATCAAATATTCGTCACTAAACCTCTTACTGCAGGCCGCATACCACCACAATCGCATTTTCCATTCTGGTCATTGGGTACGCCTTCGAATGATCACACATTTGTCACTGCTACTCATTTCTGGTTGCTTTTCACGTCCCAGTTAGCCCATGAAATGGGTACATCCGGCGAAACCTGTTCCCGCTTTAGTGTTTCGCCAATACAGGCCGTTGCAACGGTGTATTGTAGTGACCGATTGAAGTTTCACCCATAGAGTCTTGACACATCCGGATCCAATGGGGTTTCGGAAACCCAGCTGCAGGTGCCAGTGGCAGAATCCTTGGTAGCATTGAATTCATCTACCATTCGGCAGTGATCGGCTCATAATTTTTCCCAAGTAGATCGCCAATTTGGGACGTCTTCGTGAGTATTTTGGATATTGACTGACTTCAACGGAACTTATCATCAACTAAAAAT